TTATATCTTGACTTTTTAAAGGCAAATATATGTATATATATATTTATGTATGTATATATATATATATGTATATATATATCAAAATGTATGTAAATATATGTATATATGTATATGTATATGTGTATACATATGTATTTATATATGTATGTATATTATTTTTTTTTGTGACGATTCGTCTAGCATGAAATGTGTATACATGTATATATATGTACTTTATATTATATGTATATATATATGATATATATGTATTTATGTGTATAAATATATATCAGTAAAACTATAATTTAAATACATATGTATATATATATATATATATACATATAGACATGTATATTATATATATATATATATATATATATATATATATATATATATATATATCTATATGTGTCTATATATATATCCAGACATGTGTATATATATATGTATATATATAGGGCTATGACTACATACGTATATGTATATGTATCGTGCCACCATAAAATATATTGTCAAGTATATGGTATAAATAAGCGTAAAATGACGATGTACCATCCGCTGTATTTATGTATAGGGAAATGCAAGCATATCGATGTATGTATGTATATAACCATATATGTTCTGATATATATATATATGAAAATATATGTGAAAACCTTTCAGAAAATATGGAAAACATTTGCAATATATATCAGGGAAATATATGTAATATGAAAACTCTGTAAAATAATTTCTTCATGAGTACTCCCCACATCTTGCGTAGATTTCATTTCATTATCCATATTTTGGTTCCTGATTGCACGGCACCTCATCTATTTGTATTTTCTGATACAAAAACTAGTTTTCTCTTGAAGAGGATAGCAGGTGAGGCGAAAGAGGATAGCAGATATGTTGCAGGCGAGGCGGGAGAGGATAACAGGCGAGGCGGAAGAGGATATTATAGGTGAGGCAGAAGAGGATGCATATATATATTAGCATGTGAGGCTATATATAGCAGGTGAGGCGAAAGAGGATTACATGAGGCGAAAGAGGATAGCAGGTATATGGAAGAGGATTATATGTATATATATGTGAGGCAGAAGAGGATAGCAGTGGCAGAGGCGGAAGAGGATAGGCGGAATATATGCATATATATAGGATAGCAGGCGAGGCGGAATAGGTAACATAGGCGGAATGTATATATATATGTAGGCGATATGTGATATGGAGGAGAAAATATTATATGTGAATATATATATAGAGTATAGCATCCGCTATGATATTATATATATGGATTATATATGTGAAGAATATATATGGCAGGTGATACATGGATAGCCAGGATATGTGTATGAGGATATATAACATGCGAGGCGGAAGAAGATTATCAGGTGAGGCAGAAGAGGATAGCAGGCGAGGCGGAAAGAGGGCAAGTGAAAGAGGATTATATTGAGTATATAAAAGGACTAGCAGGTTTTGCGGAAGAGGACTAGCAGGTGAGGTGAAAGAGGATTAGCAGGTGAGGCGAAAGAGGATAGCAGGTGATATGGAAGAGGATTAGCAGGTGAGGCGGGAGAGGATTTGAGGCGGAAGAAGATTATCAGGGGTGAGGCAGAAGAGGATATATGCCGGAAGGGGATATAGGCTGAGGCGGGAGAGGATAGGAGGCGAGGCGGAAGAGGATAACAGGCGAGGCGGGAAGAAGATTATCAGGTGAGGCAGAAGAGGATAGCAGGCGAGCGGAAGAGGATAGTGAGGCGGAAGGAGATTGTAAAGGCGGGAGAGGATAGCAGGGCAGAGGCGGAAGAGGATAACAGGCAGGCGGAAGAAGATTATCAGGTGAGGCAGAAGAGGATAGCAGGCGAGGCGGAAGAGGATAGCAAGTGAGGAGAAAGAGGATTAGCATGTGAGGCGGAAGAGGACTAGCAGGTTTTGGCGGAAGAGGACTAGCAGGTGAGGCGAAAGAGGATTAGCAGGTGAGGCGAAAGAGGATAGCAGGTGATATGGAAGAGGATTAGCAGGTGAGGCGGGAGAGGATTAGCAGGTGAGGCGGAAGAAGATTATCAGGTGAGGCAGAAGAGGATAGCAGGTGAGGCGGAAGAGGATAGCAGGCGAGGCGGAAGGAGATTGCAGGCGAGGCGGGAGAGGATAGCAGGCGAGGCGGAAGAGGATAACAGGCGAGGCGGAAGAAGATTATCAGGTGAGGCAGAAGAGGATAGCAGGCGAGGCGGAAGAGGATAGGCGAGGCGGAAGGAGGTTGCAGGCCGGGAGAGATTGCAGGCGAGGCGGAAGATTTGAGGCAGAAGAGGATTGGGAAGAGGATGCTGTGAGGCGGAAGAGACTAGCAGGTTTTGGCGGAAGAGGGCGGCATGAAAGAGGATTAGCAGGTGAGGTGAAAGAGGATAGCAGGTGATATGGAGAGGATTGCAGGTGAACCTTTCAGGATTAAGGTGAGGCGGAAGACAGGAACAGGGGAGGAGCAGAAGAGGATAGCAGGTGAGGCGGAAGAGGATAGCAGGCGAGGCGGAAGGAGATTGCAGGCGAGGCGGGAAGGAACAAAGAGGAAACAGGCGAGGCGGAAGAAGATTATCAGGTGAGGCAGAAGAGGATAGGTGAGGCGAAAGAGGATAGCAGGTGAGGCGAAAGAGGATTAGCATGTGAGGCGGAAGAGGCGGGCAGGTTTTGGCGGGCGGAAGAAATGGATGAGGCAGGAGAGGAAGCAGGTGAGGCGGAAGAGATTATCAGGTGAGGGAAGAGGATCAGGTGAGGCCCGGAGAGGATAGCAGGTGAGGCGGAGGATAGCAGGCGAGGCGGAAGGAGGATTGCAGGCGAGGCGGGAAGAGGATAGGCAGGCGAGGGCGGGAGGGATAGGATAGGCAGGCGAGGCGGAAGAGGATAGCAGGCGAGGCGGAAGGAGGCGGAAGAGGATAGCAGGCGAGGCGGAAGAGGATAACAGGCGAGGCGGAAGGAGATCAGGTGAGGCAGAAGAGGATAGCAGGCGAGGCGGGGAAGAGAGGATAGCAGGCGAGGCGGAAGAGGGATAACAGGTGAGCGAGGATGCAGTGATATATGGAAGAGGCGAGGTGAGGCGGAAGAAGATTATCGGATTATCAGGGGGAGGCAGAAGAGGTAGCAGGTGAGGCAGAAGAGGATAGCAGGCGAGGCGGAAGGGATTGAGGTGGAAGAGGATAGCAGGCGAGGCGGAAGAGGATAGGCGAGGCGAAGGATTATCGGAAGAAGAGGATAGCAGGCGGAAGACGGAAGGAGGATTAGCAGGTGAGGCGGAAGAGGATAGCAGGCGAGGCGGAAGAGGATAACGGAAGAGGATAGCAGGGCGGAAGAAGATTATCGGAGAGGACTAGCAGGTGAGGCAGAAGAAGGATGAGGCAGAAAGAGGATGGCGAGGCGGAAGAGGATAGCAGGCGAGGCGGAAGGAGATTGCAGGCGAGGCGGGAGAGGATAGCAGGCGAGGCGGAAGAGGATAACAGGTGAGGCGGAAGAGGAGGCGGAAGAAGATTATCAGGTGAGGCAGAAGAGGATAGCAGGTGAGGCGGAAGAGGATAGGCAGGCGAGGCGGAAGAGGATAGCAGGCGAGGCGGAAGGGGAGAGATTGCAGGCGAGGCGGGAGAGGATAGCAGGCGAGGCGGAAGAGGATAACAGGCGATAGCGAGGCGGGAGAGGATAGCAGGCGAGGAAGAAGAAGATTATCAGGTGAGGCAGAAGAGGATAGCAGGCGAGGCGGAAGAGGATAGCAGGCGAGGCGGAAGGAGATTGCAGGCGAGGCGGAAGGAGGCAGGCGAGGCGGGAGAGGATAGCAGGCGAGGCGGAAGAGGATAACAGGCGAGGCGGAAGAAGATTATCAGGTGAGGCAGAAGAGGATAGCAGGTGAGGCGGAAGAGGATAGCAGGCGAGGCGGAAGAGGATAGCAGGCGAGGCGGAAGGAGATTGCAGGCGAGGCGGGAGAGGATAGCAGGCGAGGCGGAAGAGGATAACAGGCGAGGCGGAAGAAGATTATCAGGTGAGGCAGAAGAGGATAGCAGGCGAGGCGGAAGAGGATAGCAGGCGAGGCGGAAGGAGATTGCAGGCGAGGCGGGAGAGGATAGCAGGCGAGGCGGAAGAGGATAACAGGCGAGGCGGAAGAAGATTATCAGGTGAGGCAGAAGAGGATAGCAGGTGAGGCGGAAGAGGATAGCAGGCGAGGCGGAAGAGGATAGCAGGCGAGGCGGAAGGAGATTGCAGGCGAGGCGGGAGAGGATAGCAGGCGAGGCGGAAGAGGATAACAGGCGAGGCGGAAGAAGATTATCAGGTGAGGCAGAAGAGGATAGCAGGTGAGGCGAAATGATTCAAAGACAAAGATTGAGAAACAGTTTGAAAAAAAATCAGATGCCAAAAATAAATATGATTTCAATATTTAAAATATTTTTATGGATTACTTGTAATTGCAAACATAAGTCCCAGTATAAATAGTTAAAATAATTTTTGATCGATTTTATCATTGTGATATTTTTGCATTATATCAAGTATTAAGAATATAGTAACTAGGGTCCTCAAATTGGAGAAGAGAGTTATCAATGATAATGTTCTGATTTCGAATCCGCGGTTATTTCTTTTTAAGCTCCTCTCTCTTTATTTTTTATTTTTAAATGTACTTTTACTTAAATAACAATTTAATGAGGTGCGAGCAAATTTTAATTCCGAAAATGCGACCCAGAGAAAAACGTTTGGGAACCTCTGTCTCGGATTGAAACATGGGGAGGTGGGGAAAACTCGTATTGCCCAAAGCAAAGGCAAAACAGTATAACAATAATAATTGTTCTTTCGCTAGCAGGCGTGGCTCTTATGGCATCTAATCTTAATTGATTGGAGGTGTTAGCATAAGCGTGTTTTGTGCTGATGAATTAAGATGGGCTACAGTAAACATCTTATTTAGTATTACCTATTCATTTGTCAGTTGCCTGAGCTAAACCAGTTGGACAGCTTTTACTGAGTGGAAATAGTAGCGGAGAATCATAACTAGATATCGAGAGGATTTTTTTCTGACTTTAAAGGATGAGGCATCTAGGTCTACTTGGGAGTTATATCAACATACTTGGGATCATCCTCAATCGGAGACCCTCGCAACGGACTGGGTCACACGACATGAAGAAATTTCTAACTGGATCCCACGAGGTAATGGGCTGCTTTTGTAATAAAACCTGTTATCATATCAGTGCATCTGGCTTGTGTATTTTTATCATACTATAGTTTGTTTGTTTAACGGCATATCAATAGCTTATGGGTCATTTAATGCCGAAATTAAATTTTGTTTTTTTTTTAATTTTATTTTACAATAATGTTCACCCAGTACAAAGCTCAAGAGACACTCGAGGTAGGTACCACCCCAAGCAAGGCGATAATGTCACCAAGACGCAAAGTGGGCAGCGGAATTAGAAGAGAATAGATTTTAGACGGAAATACTAAACAAAAAACAAAGCCTAAACCTTTATTCCTGTTAAAAAAAAAAACGGGGAAGTTTGTGAACCGAACGATAGGCAAATCTATCTGCTATGCGGATGACACGACTATTTACTCCTGCCTCAAAAACAAATCTAGTGTCGTCGACAAAACTAACCTGGCCGTCTGTCTTGAAAAGGACCTCCAGTCGGTTGTGGAATGGGGCAGGAATTGGCTGGTTAACTTTAACGCCTCCAAAACAAAACTGCTATCTATTACTCACCAGAAAGAACTATCCCTGTCTCCCATTAGAATGTCTGACGCTCAATTCCACGAGAGCACCTCTTTGCGACCGCTCGGTCTCACATTGTCCGCTTACCTGAGATGGAACGAATACACTGAGTCAATAGCTTCGTCCACCGCTAGGAAAATTGGCTCCCTGTGCCGCGCCAGGAAGTTTTTCTCGCCGGAGTCGATCCTTCAAATCTACAAATCAATCATTCGCCCTTGCATGGAGTATTGCTGCCATATATGGCCGGGAGCCCCTTCTGTTTGTATCAAGGTCCGTGATAAAATCCAAAGACGGATATGCAATATAATTGGCCCTGATCTGGCATCTCGTCTGCAGTCGCTGTCTCACAAACATGCCATCGCCTCCCTCTGTCTTTTTTACAAATACTTTCATGGTAACTGCTCCGATGAGCTGCTTTCGCTGGTTCCCAGACTTCATGAATTTAAGTACTCAACTAGGCTGGCATCTCGCTCTCACCCTTTCACTGTCTGACCTGTTAAATGTAGCAGCTTCTTCTACTCCAATAGCTTCATGTCTCGCACTTCTCGCCTGTGGAACTTCTCCCCATTTCTTGTTTTCCTGATAGTTATAATCTCCAACTATTCAAATGTGACGTCTTTTTTAAGCATTCAGTTATTTCTTTAACTTAACTCTCCAAGTTTATGGTTCACCACAGCTGTGGCCTGGTATTGAACTCACAACTCTTTGGGTCTAGTCACTGGATCTAACCAAGGTCTTTATCCACTGAATACCTGAGACACCCGGAAGAGGCATGGCACGTGGAACTAAAACAATCTACCCCGGTGGACGAAATAAAGGGTTCGGTTCGAAATTTCAATCACCTGAAGAATGCCGGGGCGTACAACGGCCAAAACGCTGTGAATATGGCAATGAAGATGAGGATAACAGCCCGAATAATGTAATAATAATGTAAATAATCATAATACCTCATCCCAGAGATATAGATAGATTTAAATATATTGTTTAAAATTTACTATATTTATGTGGGAAGGGTACTCAAAAGGAATTCTACAAAATAAGTAAATAAATAAACAGAATGGCCTAAAAAGGTAAATATAGATTGTAATAAAATTTAAAAAAAATAGAAATTATTAAAATAAACAAGGCCCACAGATCCGAAAAGAGATGGATTCATGCCTTTCTCAAGGTTGTTTGCACGTAAAAAAAAACCGACCGGAATTTGAACTCGGCTCACCGATTTCTCATGCAAAGCCGTTATCCATAATACCAGAACAAACTTCCTCGTTGCATTCACTGACTTGAACATACGCTCGAGAAATGAATTCATCTTTCCCCCCCTATCCCCCAGCTATGGGTTAAATAGGTGTCTTGGTGTTATAGTCTTGGCTGGCAACCATATACAGCGGAAAGTCACGGAATCCTACTGCGGGAATCTTTCTGCCAAGCCAGTCATGAATCTAGAAGAGACATGATCAGTCGAGCGTGCATCACGCTTGGCACCTCAAGAATAAAGGAACATATATCCTCAGTGATATATATATATATATATATATATATATATATATATATATATATATATATAAATTGCAATGTTAGAAGAAGGAAAGAAAAAACGAAGACAAATTATATTTGTTGCAATGTCATTAAATCGTCAAATATTTTTTTAATTCATTGCGGCAGTATCACGGAATTCTGTCACCAGATCTTTTGATTTCACTATAATTATGGAATTCTAATTTCTGTTTAAGGTTTACGCCCGTTATATGTCACCGCCGGCTGTTGACCATACAAATTATTATTCCGCTCAGATATGTCACCAGAGAGAAACGCCGGTTGAGTACTTCTTTTATGTGCTATGTCTCTTCAGGAAATGAGCGATTATGCCTCTCCACAACTTCCTACCCTCTGTAGCTCTAAGCGATATTTAACTCTTTACCACTCTCCCTAAGTCGCTTTTCTACCATCAAGCTTTTTACGTAGGTTAATCGATGGTTTCCTCTGTCAAAATGTCCTGTGAGTGTCGCATTTTTCAAACCTTCTTTTCTCATATTTCCCTGACATTTCAAACTCTCTCTTTCCGATTTTCAGTATGCATAAGTTTCGTTTTTGTTTCCAATATTCCGTAAAATTTCCTTGTTGCTCACATATTCCGCCCATGGTATATTCAGCATCCTTCTGTAGAACTAGGTCTCAAATCTCCTCTTCATCTGTGAGGAAATTGTCCAACATTCACTGTTATGTAGGATGATTGACATATATAGGTCTCTTGTAGTTTGCACTCATTTCTTTGTTTCTAACGACATATCCTTTTTATTAAATACTAGCTGAACTAGACATTGATCTCTATCTATAAAAGGCAAGATGTGTGTGTGTGTGTGTGTGTATGTGTGTGTGTGTGTATGTGTGTGTGTGTGTGTGTGTGTGTGTGTAACGAATGCACGGCCGCAATTTTCGACGATTTGCACCAAAATTTACATGCACATGCTCCAAGTTAGCGGGAAGGCCAAGACCGACTTTGCATTTCCCAACTCCCATCGATAGTGGAAATAATCGATTTTGTCATGCTCCTACGGCACTTTTCATGTAGTTTGCGGCCATTTTCTACGGGCCAGAGTGAGAGCCAATAGCTGGCTGCCACGATTAGGCAGGAAGATTCTATTGGCCAGAGTAAGAGCCAACAGCTGACTGACACGAATGTTAGCAGGCAAAAAAATCGATAGCTGCATTCGTCACAAGTGGGAAAAATTTAAATCTGCATGGCGCTTTACTCCAATTGGCTCATTCGCTTGCTTAAACTCAACGTTGATTCTGATTCCGCAGAACTGGGTTGGGTGTGAAAATGGGTGTGAAAATTTGTTGTTAACATTCTTTTTTCATTCGGTTTTTCTAGTTACGAGTCCTTTTTGAAAGCTGATCGTTTTGTGTTCATTTTTTTAGTTCTTTTTTTCGTAACAGATTTAATGTTTAGTATAGAGCTTAGAAAAAATTCTCAGTGTGAGATAGGCAAGAAGTAAGGCATGTAGCAACATCAGCACGGCAAAGGGCACTCCTTTAAAGGCAAGGAAGGGCAAAAATATTTTAAGTCAAGTGATAGCGATTGCTGTATGAGTCGTACGATTTTTGAATCAAGCACGGGCAACGCCGGGCCATGCTGCTAGTATTACATAAGAAGTTCAGCATTCTAAATGAGTTAGAACTAATATAGAGTACAAGTTGTTTGGGGACTACTTAAATATAGTGGTCCACTCATGAAAAATAAGGAAAAATATTGTTGGAAATAATTTCTTAAGATTAACATTCCTTAGGCTTGTCAAAATCGGAAAATTGGTTTATATTTTTATTGATTTTTATTGATTTGATTTTTTTACGGTTTATCAACCTTTCACACATTATTTAACGTCAGAGAGTATTTTTTGATTTTGTTCTGACCAAGTAAATGGTAAACGAAGTTACAAAACAAGTGTTACAGAAATATCATATATTAAACAGTAAGCACAACAAAATAGTATTATACGATTAGTGAGTGTGTGTCGGTTGACCAGCGTTCAATCTATTCGACTGTTAATATTTAGCAGCCCCCCCCTCCCACACCACCACCACGAGAGATGTATGTAGCACAAGGCTGAGTTTATCGTGGGTTCTCCGAGCCCGTAGGCTCTGCCAAAAATATTCCCATAGAACCCGCATGAGCGGGTCCGGGTCTGTCTACCTCCCCGGACGAAACTTTGCCCTTCAGCAAAGCCTCAGCAGCTGTGAACAATCACAGTCCGGTAGAACAATCTATTCGACTATTAATATTTAACAGCCCCCCCCCCACCTCACCCTGAGGGATGTATGTAGCCCAAGGCCGAGTTTACCGTGGGTTCTCAGAGCCTGTAGGCTCGGTCAAAAATATTCCCTTAGAAACTGCATAAACGGGGTCATGGCCTGTCTATTTCCCCGGACGAATCTTTGCCCTTCGGCAAAGCCTCGCCCGGGTTCCTCTCTGTCGAGGCAGAGAGTTCGACAGTAACGAACAATCTACTCGACTGTTCCCCCAAGGCCTTCTCTCTTACTAATCTTATAGTAGGCGGAAGAGTCCAACATAGACTCTTTAGAAGGAGGACACCACAACAGAATTTTTTTTATATAATAATGATTTTTATGATACAAGTCCTACTAATTAATCCATAACTTAGGGGAAGAAGAGTTGGATTCATGACTTTCCCAAGGGTATTTGCGCGTAAGTGAATATAACGAACTCGACTGGAATTCGAACTCGGCACTCTGATTTTCAATCCCGAGCTTTTAGTCATTACACCACTCGTTCATCCAAGCTTACAGTCCCTGGTATTCCCAAGCGGTCATCCATCTGGGAACTGACCAGGCTCATAACAAACGTCAATTCAAATATTCTAATCCTCGATATAATGGATTTCGAATTTTATCACAGGGTTGGGATTTTATGCCTGTGGAATAAAACACTGTAAATTACCATCCACAGCGCTTTTAAGCACATGACTAAATCAGTCCTCTTGTATTAATTTTAAACTACTGTCATCATCTTGGTTATTATAGACACAGCGTTTCGATTAAGAACCCTTTGGTCATCATCAGGCGTCCATTGATTGGTGACATAGGATAATTGTTACCTTGTAATTCTCGAGCGGTAACCCATCTTGGTACTGACCCGGATTGACGTTGGTTAGCTTCAGTGATCGTATATGACCGTAAGCCTAATCGATTTAGAAGCGGGATCTTGGTTTAAAGAAAGCCATTCTACAAAAATTATTTAAAAAAAAATCTTTATCCTTAATTTTCACAATTGAAAGAAAATGAAGTAAAGAAAGCTAATCTGCAAAAAATTATTTAAAAAAAAAGCTTTGTCCTTAATTTTCACAAGTGGACCTGTCTGCTTAAGTAGGATTGTTGCTTGTACGGGGACGCAATCTGTTTAAAACAATTGAAAACATTTGAAATATCTTAAACATTTAAAAAAATTTTTAATATTTAAAAATATTTTAAACATTTTAGAACAATTTAATCATTTTAAGTCAGTTTCAGCGTTGTGTTTGGTGTTCGTTAGAGAATGCTTTTCCAATTAAAGTGATTTTCAGGGATCAAAAACAAAAAAGAAGAAAATAGTAATAATCAGTTAGTAACAAAATATTTTAACTATTTTAATAGTAATAAATAATTTAAATTTTTTTAAACATCTAAAAAACATTTTACACATTTAAAACATTTTAATCATTTGAACATTTTAAAACATACTAAAACATTTTAATTCATTTTAAAACATTTTAAACATTTAAACATTTTAAAACATTTTCAACGAACACTTATGTCTGGGTTTCGTTAGAGAATGCTTTTTCGAAACAAACAGATTTTCAGGTATTTTCAGAAATTCAATCTTGCCAACAATCCAAAAATGAGATCAAGGCTCACTATAAATACAGAAAATGAACAATGAAAGATTAAAAGAACATGAGGAAATTTATTTCTTTGAAAATTGATTTCTTTAATTTGCCTGAAGAAGGTCACGAAATCGGAAACCCGTGTAGCAGAAATATGGATAATAAGATATAAATATATACACTAAAACAAATCCATATTATAACCAAAAACGTTTGCGGTTTCTCTCTTTTTCTAAAATATATATTTTTCTCTCGCTGGAACAATTATAATCTTTTCACTATATATATATATATATATTTTATTACATGAAGGACTGCATGCTTATCCGAAGATACAGGAATCTACTAGTCTCCGCGTATTCCTACAAGAACAGAAAAGATTTTCTAACGAACTGTATATATGAAAAATCTTTCCATCGGAATCAAATTTATAAAATTTTTAACATTACGTTGTGAAAGCGTCGCCTATTTGACGACAACGTGACCACGCTCAAACGGAAAGCTGATCATTTAAAATTTTCATTTATCTGTTTTGGATAAGACTTGTTTTTATGTCCATCGTTTTCGTCGTGTTATACTGATTATGTTAATTGTATTTTAATGAATATTGTCCTGAAGAAGGTTTTAAACCGAAACGTCAGACGTCGACATTTCATTTATATTAAAACAACATAATCGCATTTTAAGGATTTTTGTATTGTTTTTTTCCAGATATTTTCTTCATATATATATATATATATATATATATATATATATATATATATATATATATATATATATGCTAGAAGTCAATGTCAAATCAAGGTAAAAAAATAGGGAAAAAGTAAATAGTGTCTTCAAAGTTGATTTTTCCGTCAACATAATCTTGTTAATCGTAGTTAGCTCTATTAAGGCTAATCTTAGTAAAAAAAAAAAAAATAAAAAAATAAAAGCATTTAATATATTTCTGTGCTTCTGTGTTCCACTCGCTATTAAATCATATTAAGTGAGAACAAGGAATGTCCGAAGTAGGATAAAAGCCATATTATAAGCGTAGGAATCTGTTCAAAAATGTACTCTAAATATCTCGTATATATATTGACCTATGTATGTAATAAGCATCAGTTCCTTTATTATCTACAATTTTCTCTCTCCCTCTCTCTCTCTCTCTCTCTCTCTCTCTCTCTCTTTCTTTCTCTCTTTGAATAGGCAGTAATCTCTATTATCTACATTATCTCTCTCTCCCCCTCTCTCTTTACACAGGCGGTAAATACCAAAATTCTACTTACAGATTCATATACTGTACGCGTAAAACACTAGAACCTTATAACTAAACACACACATATATATATATATATAATTATTTTTTTTAAAATTTATAACATATTTATGTTATAAATTTATAACATATATGTTATAAATTTGTAACATATATGTTATAAATTTATAAACATATTTATGTTATAATTTTTTTTTAAATACTTATATCTGCTCTACTTTGTATTGAGTACTCTTTTAAGAATAGTAATTGTTGGTTATTGGAATTCATTTCGCATACACCAATTATATATATATATATATATATATATATATATATATATATATATATATATATATATATATATATATATATACTTGATATATATATATATATATATATGATATATATATATATATGGTCTCTGGAGTATGTGTGCATATATATATATATATATATATATATATATATGCACACACATACTCTAGAGACCAATACTGCAGACACAATCTTGTATCGTTTCGCTTAGGTCAATTACCAGTGAAGTAATAATTAACGATCTAAGATCACTTCTTTATTTATATTTTATGCCATATGTCATCAGGATGTAAGTGATCATGGCTCTCTAGAGATTTTTTTTCTGTATATTCTGTGAATTGCCATGAATTATTGGGGAAAATGGTCGAGTGGGTCTCCTTGAATTCTCCACAGATTCATTTTCTTTTAAAATCGGTAAAACCGCCTTGAATTCTTGGGAAATATAGTGGAGTGGTTTCCCGTTGTTTTCTCTACAGAATCCTTTCTTTTAACATTGTTGAACTGCTTTGAATTCTTGAGAAAGTCAATGGAATGACTTCCAGTTGCTTTCTCCACAGATATTTTTTTCTTTATAATCATCGAATTGCCTTAAATTTTGGGGAAAAGTAATGAAATGCTTTCCTTTCGGGTTTTCCTTTTCTTATACTGGTCACCACTCAAAGCTAGACAACCTAGTTTACCCTCCTATTTAACCTATAGCTAATACCAGTTTGCTAATACAAAGCTGAAAATGAAAAATAATAAAATAGTGTATCAGATCAAATTTAATGCGCATTTTATTCTCTTCCACTTTGTCATTACATTTCCTAATACATACATACATATATATATATATATATATATATATATATATATATATATATATATATATATATATATATATAGACGTACGGTGGCAGTTAATAATTAAGTATAACTCAAGACTTCACTGTTAAGATAAAACAGTATTTAATTACAACCTCAAATAAATACTTAACAAGAACAAAGAAGTAAAAGACAATCAAAGATAATTAACGATTTCAGTGAATACCTTGTTGGCAGCGCAGCTCGGCTTAAAGTCCGCTAAATCCTAAATCAAAACCCAAATCATCGTCGCATGCTAATTCAACTGGATAGTTCCACGCAATAGTCACTCAATAATCACTGCAGTCAGTAGCCTGACACCGCTATTTATACACCTATTTTCTTCCTATATATATATATATATCGATTCTCCTGTCGGGTTCGACGTATGAGGGTCAAGCAGATCAGTTTCCAGGAAACTGACAGCCCGACACCGGCACATGAGATTCGATTACAGTGGTGAAGGTTTCGTGCAGGACCATCTACACTTTTTGAAGGGACGAATACAGAGACCTGGTGCACTACGTGCCACAAGGTCCACAAACAACCCCCCTCAGGTTTTGAATTCAGAGTTGTCCTTCTCCTAGACCAGTTGCCATCCAAGGCTCTAGAACACAGTCTGTCGCGCTATTTAACCCATAGCTGGAGGGAGAAGAATAGGATTCACACCTTTCCCAAGGGTATTATCACGTATATATATATATATATATATATATATATATATATATATATATATATATATATGAGGGATAAGAAGTATGACAAAGTGGAAAAAGTTTTTCGCGTGACGCTTTTTGTTCTTTAGGACTTCATCGGATTAACTTTATATTTGCATTGATGCAACTGCACATAAGCATGATCGAAAAGGAGACGGTGAGAATTTTAAATATTTCTTTTTAACATTTGTTTTTGGGTATATAGTTTATCGGAGAGCCGAGTTCGAATTCCAGTTGAATCCATTACATTTACTTACGTGCTGATACCCTTGGGAAAGGTCTGAATCCTTTTCTTCTTTTCCTCCCAGCAACGGGTAAATAGCAGGACAGTTCGGGTTCTGTAGCCTTGGATAACAACTGGTCTACCGCAGAAAGAAATGGCAACCTACTGCGGGAAAATATCTGTCTCGTCAGTCATGTACCAAAACGTACATGATCGCCTGAGCGTGTACCGCGCATGGCACATAACTGACAGTCAGCCATACGTGATACACAAAGATTGAATAACAAAGATGGTAATTTTTGTTTTAGATTGGCTATGCAGACATTGCAACAAGGATAGTTTGTTTTGCTTACATCTTTGTTATTTAATTTATTATTTAATTTATTGTAATGTACTTGTAATCTCTGATGATGGCTTATGTAAGCCGAAAGCTTAGATAGGATTAACAATAAAAACATGTATCAACATAGTGATTTTCTTTCGTGTTTCAGTGATAATACTAAAAAGCTTATTCAACAATATGAAAGGAATTTACTTAAAATAAATAGACAAAACTTGTCTATATTATTTAACGAAACATGCATTAATATATATATATATATATATATATATATATATATATATATATATGCGGAGAGTGTATATTAAAAATGCATTAAAGTTCGACCCAGGCTCAATTCAAAGCATGCACCTACGTGTTTAACCCGCATTCATATGAAGTCCTTCCATTCACAGCCTATACGT